AAACCCTGCAGAATCGAGCGGCATGCGCAACTTGACTGTACGAATACGTCAAGCCCAGGGCGGGAGGACACAAGGTCCCATGGGGTTCACGGGCCACACGACCCCACCTCCCGACCAAGTGCGCAATCCCCGTGCCTGGTACCCACCTCCAGGCCACGGGCGCAGCTAAGGCGCCTCATGCGGACAAGCAAACTGCTTGCCGCTGGTTCCGAAACTTGGACCCGCTTGCTTCTCTCCTTGCCTGCTGCAGCGGGCAGCCCTGATAGTATGCCCTGTACGTGAAGACTGAGTACCAGGATACGGCACCCAGTGGCCACGCTCAGGGCGGGGAGGAAGGGAAGAGGAGGCGAAGGTTGAGGAGGGACGAGGACGCAGGGAGAGACTGAAGTGGAGGAGGAGGAGGCGGAGGAGGAGGCGGAGGTGAGGCAGAAGAGGAGGACATTGCCCCGCAAGTTAAAGCTTATGTGGGCCTTCCAGGTGAAGGCGGGCTGCACTCCCGCAGACGCGTCAGTCGACCCTTGACCGTCCGAGCCCTGGTGGGCTTGGCAGCCCTCCTCCACACGGTTCGTCCGCTTACACTGAGCGTAGGGAGCGCACCGCCCGCAAAGCGCAAACGCGGGTCGAGACACAGGGCCATGTGCTAGATCTCCGTGCCATTCGAATGCGGGCCTCACGGGCACCGAATTCGACAGCTTCTGAGCCCGACGGCCCGCTCGTAGTCCGGTTTGGGGCCTCTGCACCGACCCACGGGGCTTTTAGACGGGGGAGGAGGAGGGGGATCCCGTCCCCTGGGGGTCCCGTCGACTGCAGCCTGGCAATCGCAGTGGATTCTGAGGGATGGCATCGCACACCTCAGTACCTGAATGATCGCGTATGGTCCTGCTGGGGAAGGGTGCACGAACGCGGACTCTTCGATATTCTCCCCGAGGCGTCCAAGGTTGCACAGGTCACACTTACCCGCCTCAGGGTTTCAAACTCACCATCAAGAAGGCCCCGTCCGTGAAGGCCTCGCCTGTGATCACTCCTGGATGGTCGCCGTCATACCCTACCTCGTCGGAGACTGGCAGAACATCCTAGAGCTCGACTGGCTCATTCGAGAGACCTCTGGCCCACAACGCCTCGAAGCCTGGTTAAGGATTCGCGTCACGCTGCTGCACGTGCCTACCTCCTACACGCCTGCGCTGCTCATCACGCGTGCTGCACACACCCGCGCGGTGCAAATATGTGCCTACAGCCTGCTTGCATGTCTGACATTGGTCGGTTGACACACGATCAGCCGTGAAGATTCTCTGCTGTGGCCACGTGCCGCCTGCAAACAACGTTCTCGTTCGCGTGCGATGCTCAGCAGTCCACTTCGCTGTCAGATGTCTGCCGAGCAACATTCTCACCAGCGACATGCAGACCTGACGAGACACACCGACCTCGGAGCCCCTATCGCGCAATTCAGCCATTCTGTGGTGCAGAGTCTGTAGCCCGTCGGACGAAGGAGTGACGGTCGTGCAGGCCAATCTTTGGAAACTGGAACATATACATGACCAGTGGCGGCCTGTTTTTCAATCCCACGACTTTTCGAGGGTCGGTGACGACGTCGGGGTGGTCTGGTGTATACTTGTTCCCCGTTTTCGCGGGGAAACAACGAAACATGTATACACCAGGATCCCGTATACACCAGGATCCGCGTTCCTGTGCGAGCTCCAGCGCAGGGTCGGGACCAGCGTTGGCGTATAGAGTTCGTTTCCCTAAATCTGTGTTGAACCGTGCACCTCGGTCCCACATGTCGTTGTCTCGGATCGGGATGCCCCAACCGCGGCGCCTCGCTGTGGCAGCAGAGCGCCTGCTGGGCCTCTCACGAGGGCCCACGGCCTCGGATGCCCGCGGGGTCGCACGCCCCACGAGCGCCATGCCGCCGCGAAGAGGTCGCGCGTCCCCAGGTCAGCCGCCTCCCGCCACGCCCTGGCCCGCTCGGCGACGGGCCCGCCATTGGCGACCACGGCGGGGACGGAGTCCTCTGCTGGCAGCATCCGCGCGGCCGACCTCCCCCCTCCCCTCGCGGAGGAGGAGGAGGAGGCGAACGATGGAGAGGGTTGGGGAGGGGAGGATGCTGCAGGGAGGAATAGGCAGGGGGGGAGGAAGAGGAGGAGGAGGAAGTGGATGAGGAGGAGGAGGAGGGGAGGATGTTGATGATTATGATGCTGATGATGCCGATCATGATGTTGCTGGTGATGACGACGATGATGCTGATGTTGCTGGTGGTGATGATGATGATTCTGATGAGGATGATGAGGATGAGGATGAGGATGCTATTGACGAGTTTGATGATGCGGAGGTTGATGACGATGATGATGTTGGTGATGGTGATGGTGTTGGTGCTGATGATGATGCTGATGCTAAGGATGCTGATGCTGCTGCTGATGATGAAGATGATGATGACGCTGGCGATGCTGATGATGCTGATGGTGGTGATGATGATGAGGATGGTTAGGCTGCTGACGATGCTGAGGATGATGCTGCTGATGATGCTGATGTCGCAGGTGATGATGATGACTATTACGACGACGGCGATGATGAGGATGATACTGATGCCGATGCTGATGTTGCTGCTGATGCTGATGGTGATGATGCTGCTGCTGATTATGATGATCCTACTGCTGATGTTGATGCTGATGATGATGCTGATGATGGTGAAAGGTGGTGGTGGTAGTGGTGATGACGATGATGCTGATGCTGATGATGATGCTGGTTATGATGCTGTTGTTGATGGTGATGATGGTGATGCTGATGCTGATGCTGCTGATGCTGATGTTGATGATGATGATGAGGAGGAGGAGGAGGGGAGGATGGAGGGGGCAGAGGGTGGGAAGAAGGAGGATGAGGAGGCAAGGAGGAGGATGAAGGAGACAGAGGAGGAGGGGAGGATGAAGGAGACAGAGGAGGAGGATGATGAGGAGGAGGTGTAGGAGGAGGAGAAGGCGGAGGAGGAGCAAACATAATAATCTTGTTTCGAGTAAGAAGAACACACACGAATAATGATATGGTGAGCAATGCTAATAGGAATGCGAATCATACGCATACGACGAAACCGAGAATAATACTCATGCAACAGTTAATACTTTACATGCGAGTACTACTAATACTGTTGATACGAAACGTAATATTATTGATACTATGGCTACTACTACTACTATTATTATTACTACTACTACTATCATAATCGTAAGAAGACGAGGAGGAAGAGGAGGAGGAGGCGGAGGAGGAGGAAGCGGAGGAGGAGGAGGAGGAGGGGGAGGAGGAGGTGCAGGAGGAGGAGGAGGACGTGAAGAGGGAGGCTGGTGTGGAGAACTGATGGAGTGACGAAGAGGTGAAGGGAGGGAGTACGAAGAAAACGATTTGGAACATCGAGGAACAACAAAAGGCATGAACAGAAACTTTCGGAGCTCCGCGCAAGTTTCTTGGTTCTGCGCTGGACCCTCTCCCTTGCGCGCTGGGCGCGCCAGGGGTGGCGCCAGAGGCGCCACCAGGGGGCCCGAGCGCCGATCCAGGACATCCGCGCCGAGCTCCGAAACTGTATGTTTATGCAGTTTTTTGTTCTTCGGGAAGAGGGGGATGAGGGCGCTTGGACACCATGCGCGCGACCCCCCCCCCCCCTCTGCGTCGGGGGTCCGCGCATCTCCTGGCCCCGGCTCCTCACGGCGAAGTCCGACGTGGGCTCCATTTTCAACAGGAGCCGGGAGGGAGGGAGAGGTCAGGGGCGACGCCAGGGGGGGAGGTCCCGTCAGCTGCTGGGGGGGCAACGCCGGGCGGCCAGGAAGCCGAGGCGTCTCAGAGGGGAGCGATCCTCGCAGTCGGGAGGCCGAGATCGCTCAAGGCTGAACGATCCGCGCGGTGTCATAAACAAACGCCGAAGTCATTCGGAGCCGGGCCGAGGTCGCTCAAGGCTTGGCATCGCTCGGACGTGTGCATGTTGTCTCGGCGAGGGCCAGCGAGGAGCATACTGGGTCATCTAGCGTAAAGATACACGCGCGAAATCGAAACATGCACGGGGAACAGGCGTCCGAGCGACCGCAAGGCTCAAGGAAGAACGATCCGCACGGTGTCTGAGACGACCGCCGAAGTCATTGCAAATCGGCTGGGGGTCTGAGGTGGCGCAGCACTGGTTCTGGCGAGCAGGAGGGGGGGGGGCGAGGCTCGAAGTTCTGAGTTCGGGAAGTTTTTTCTGTTTGCTTTTATCGGCCTGCGGGGGCCGTTTTCGGGCCCGGGGCCATCGGACACGGGTGGACCACGGGAGGGGCCCGGGAACCGAGTTTGAACGGATTTGGCCTACAGTCAACCAGGATAGTAAGGATGCGCGGTAAGGATGCAAGGGCCTTAGAAGGCCATGTCGACACCTTGCAAGCGGGGCGCGGCCAGCGAAAGTGGCCAAGGATGGACCGAGGAGGCAAGGATGCGAGGGTAACATTGGGAAAGTTGCCCATCCTTACTATGCGGGTCTGCTGTGATCCCCTTTCTGGCAGAGTTTCGTCAAGAAGTCGTCACGGCACGAACCTGTCGTAGCTCGACTCTCCTTTCCTCATCCGCCCAGGGCCCACCTCGATCTGGTGGATCCGATCTGGTACCGACTTTCGGCTGGCTCGATGCGATTCGATTCCGACGATCCGATGTGGTCCGACGCGTTTATGGCGCTGTTGTGAGTCCTGATTAGGGGAACACATGCGAACCCCACCCCTAACCCCTTGATTTCTGAGGGGGAGGGTGGGGTTCACTTCGCTCGGGAGCTCCCGAACGAAGTGAACCCCACCCTCCCACTCAGAACTCGTGGGGGGTGGGGTAGGGTTCGCATGTTGCCCCCTACTGATGCGGCCAAGTCGATTCGAATATGGGGCCCCTTTCGATGTACCCCCTATCCGATTCGATTGATCGACTCGATGCTGGCTGCCTGCTTCGGCCCCCCGCGTGCCCTTCTGGGTTCCCTCTCCCTGCGCCTCCTTCCCCTGCGCGGCCAGGAAGAGCGGCATGTCCCCTGGGCCGGGCGCCTACGACCCCAGCCTCGGCGGGAAGAGCAGGCAGATGCCCCAGCACACCTTCACCAGGAGCCTCACCGGGAGGGGTGGGAGGAGGACAGGGGATGATGCTTTTGTTGTTGTTGCTGATGATGTTGTTGTTGTTTTTGCTGTTGTGGATGTTGTTGGTGTTATTGTTGTTGCTGTGGTTGTTGTAGTTATTGTGGTTGTTGTTTTTGTTGTAGCTGTTGAGGATGGTGTGATGCTGCTGATGCTGATAATGATGATGGTGATGGTGATGGTGTTTGTGGTGGTGGTGACGGTGATGGTGTTGGTGATGGTGATGGTGCCGGTGTTGGTGATGGTGATGGTGATGATGGTGATGTCACTGCTGATAATGATGATGATGATGATGATGATGATGATGATGATGATGATGATGATGATGATGATGCTGATGATGATGATGACGATGATGATGGTGGTGATGCTGAAGCTGAAGCTGAAGCTGATGCTGATGCAGGTGATGGTGATGGTGATGGTGATGGTGATGGTGATGGTGATGGTGATGGTGATGGTGATGGTTGGTGTGGTGATGATCACGGTTCTGATGAGGAGGGCAATGATGATCATGTTGATGTTGTTGGTGATGATAATGACGAATGAGGAGGATGAGGATGATGAAGAGGATCATAATGAGGCTGCTGTTGATGCTGATGCTGGTGTTGATGCTAATGACGATGCCGATGAGGATGCTGATGTCGACGATGATGATGATGATGTCGATGCTGAGGCGGACGATGCCGATGATGATGGTGATGGTAATGATGATGACACCGATGTCGGTGATGATGCTGGTGATGATATTGATGCGTTTGTGGATTTCGACGGTATTGTCACTGCTGATGATCAGGTTGTTCATATTGATCAATGTTGGTGATGTTGACGATGTTGCTACCAATGCTGATGCTGTTGATGATGCTGTTGGATGTGCTGCAGATGATGATGATTTTATGCTTATGATGATGCTGATGCTGCTGATGCTGTCCATAACGATGGTAAGGCTGAGGTTGATCATGCTGATGATGCTGATGGGATGCTGTTGATGATGCTGATGATGATGTTGTTGATGCTGATGATACCGACGATCATGATGCTGCTGCTGATGATGATTATGATGCTGATGTTGATGCTGATTATGATGATGATGCTGGTGATTTGGCTGCTGATGATGGCGATTATGATGATGCTGATGCTGATGCTGATGCTGGTACTGTTGCTGATGATGCTCATGATGATGATGATGCTGATGATGATGATGATGATGACGATGATGATGCTGCTGATGATGATGATGATGATGATGATGATGCTGATGCCGTTGTTGGTGGTGGTGATGACGATTAGGAGGACGGGGATGGACGAGGATGGAAGATGATGCTAAGCCGGATGGTGTTGCGAATGAGGAACACGATGCGTTGCTGATGCTGCTGATGCTGCCATGGACGATGATGATGACGAGGAGGAGGAGGAGGAGGAGGAGGAGGAAGAGCAGGACGAGGAGGAGGAGGAGAAGGAGAAGGAAAATGGGGAGGCGGAGGAGAAGGAGGAGGTGGACGAGGAGTAGTGGGAGGGGACGGGGATGCGTGCGAGGAGGAGGAAGAGGAGGAGTAGGTGGACGTGGAGGACGTGGGCAAGGAGGGGGCGTCAGGAAGTGAAGGGGGAGAAGAGGGGGAAGCAGGATGAGGAGAAACAAGAGGCGTAGTTAAGAGGAGCACCAGGAACAAGGGGGGGAGGAGGAGGAGGAGGAGGAGGAGGAGGAGGAGGAGGAGGATGAGGAGGAGGAGGAGGAGGAGGAGGAGCCTTGGGACACTTTCGCCAGGAGCACAACCAGGGATGCCCCCATCGTGGGCCACAAGAAGGAGAACCAGGACCGTCTGGGCCCCATCTTCCGTGCTGCTGCTATCGGCTCCCAGGAGGCTTCCCCGCCCTCTCGCAGTTCTTAGGGTTCCCCCCTCTTCCATACCGCTCTGGTTATTTCGAGGACCTCGTCACCTGGGCAGGTCTGGTGTGCATAACAAGCCTTTGAGCCAGACCAGGTGATGCGACCAAACAGTTGAGGCATGTCAGAAGGGGGGGTCGCCGCCCCCTCTGGGAAATGGACGGGTAAACACACACATGTATATATATGTGTGTGTGTGTGTATATATATAGTTACATTCCGGGTTCGTCGTCGTCGCCATCGAGGCCGCCAGGCCGAAGCCAGCGGCCCAGACGAGGATACCTTCCTTTTGAATCGTCCCTGCCCGCTTTGGTCTTCAATCGCCTGGTCGCATGCTCCGATGCCCTTCCGTATCCCACCCAGTCAGCTACAGCGCGCCCCTGTCTTGTCCTGGCCTTTTGGGTCAAGTGCTGTTGTCATCGCTGCAAGCAGAGGCCCCAGCCGGCCGTCTTGCGGCGGTCCTCGGGGGGCTTCTTGTCTCTGTCTTGGGCCAGCTTTGTGCCTACAGTTCTGCGATCTTGGTTCTGTCCATGATGGTTTGATCTCTCTTTCTCTCTTCACTTTTGTTATTTCTCTCTTTCTCCCTCTCTCCATATATATATATATAAATATATATATATAAAAATAGGTATAAATACACATGCACACATAAGCTCAGGCAGCGGTACTGCGCTCTCAATCCGCGTACTTGCTGATCCTGCTGGCACTGCAATGGTGGCTCCTTGGAGTCGAAGTATTGACGCGTCGCATATCATACCAGCCCGTCCGAGAAATATTTGCAGACGAGCTGTCGTGAGACGGTCAGCGTGCTCTGCGTGACAGCTCTGCGACCTCGCAGCTGCCCATGATGGCTTGATCGAAGACGCCTGCGGCAAGCGAACCACCGCCGCCCCTGCCTGTTCGATTAGCCCGTGCGGCTAACCGTTGAGCCTACTCTGGGTTTCTTAATAAGCGTTGGGGGTCCCCCCCCCCGACGGGGGTCAGCCTCGCCTCGTTGTCGCGGCGCGACGGTGGTCGCAGCGCCCTGGGCGCCGTGGCTGCCCGCGGCGGGGGTCGATGCGAGGCTGTCGGCGAGGGTGACGCCGCTCCCCCGACGCTTGTTAAGACTTCGGAGTGCGGATTGCCGAGCTCTTGGGCCACGCGTTGCCCTGGCCGTCGTGGAAAACCCTGGGGGAGCACCTGTCGGAGAGACTGGCGCGGGGAGGAGGCGGGGGAGAAGGAGGATGCGGTGGGGGGGGGGGAGGAGGCGTCTTCGGGGCATCTGGGGGCCTCTAGAGAGGCCCTTGGGGGCGTTGAGGGCCTCCTGTGGGCCTCCTGTGGGCCTCCTTTGGGCCTCCTGTGGGCCTGCGAGGGGCCACGCTGTGTTGAATCCCTCTTGGGACCGCGTTGGGGGTCTCTTTGGCCGTCATGGGGTCCTCTTTGTCCCGGGGCCTTAGTAGGGGCTTCTGGTGCCAGCCTGGGACTATCTTGGAGGCCGCTGGGACCGCCTTCGGCTGTGGAAAGCCAGACAGGGCGAGAACTCTATTGACAGCTCACTGGCCTCCTTGTGGTCCTCGTGAGGGCCTCTTCGGGCGTCTTGGAGGCCTCTCGAGCCGTCTCCAGGCCAGCTTGGGCCGTCTGGGGTCAATCTTGGACCGCCTCGGAGACGGAGCACTGTGGGGCGATCTTTGGGCGCTTGCGGGTGTTGGCCGTCCTGCATGCGTCCTGGGCCGCCTTGGAGGCAGTATTGTGCCATCTTGGCCGTCTCGGAGTCGTTTTTTTGCCAGTGGGTCGGTTTGTCAAGCCGAAGGGTATTGGATTGGGAGCCTGCTGAGTTGGTCCAAACAGCAACACGTATGGCACGCCGAGCACCCCTCTGGTAAACAGGGGGGCGGCGGATCGAAGACGCCTGCGGCGAATCACCTCCGCTCCCTGCCTTCTGGGATACACATGTGTGGCCAAGCGCTTGGGCAACGTTTGGCCACGCTATTGAACCCTGCGTTTCCCCCAGCCGTTGTGGATGCCTCTCGGGGAACACGTTGGGGAGGAAGAGGAGGATGAGGAGAGGCAGGAAGAGGAGGATGAGGAGACGGATGAGGAGAGACCCTTTGTGTGTTTTGGGGGTCAGTATTGCGGCCTCCTGGGAGCTTTCTGCGGCCTCTTGGAGGGCTCTTGGGGACCTTTAGGGCCTTCTTGGGGGCCTCTTTGGCCATAACAGCGTTCCTGGCCCGTCTGATGCCGTCGGAAGTCGTCTTGGGAGCCTCTCTGGCCGTCTTAGGTGCCCTCTTGAGGCGCTTCGGGATCGTCTTGAAGGTCATATTGGGCGTCTTGGAAGCCTTTTGGGACGCATTGGGACCCTTTAGGGGCCATCTTGGGAGCTTCTTGGGCCGTCCTGGGGCAATCTTGGGGGCCTATTGGGCGTCGTGGGCCCTCGGGAGGCCGCTTTGATGCAAATGCCCAAACCGTAGGAACGTACTTGAGTTTGACACTTTCTTGCCTTCTGGAGGGCCTCGTGGAGGCCTCTTGGGGCCTATGGGGGGCCTCTAGGAAGCCTCTTGGGCCCCGTTGGGCCGTCTTGGAATCATTTTGGGCCGAATTGGTGCTAACTTAGCCGTCTTGGAGGCATCCTGGCACCATCTTGGGCCATCTTGGCGCCTTGGAGGCCGCCTCGAGGCCATCTGCAGAGTCTTGGGGCGAGTTGTTGTGGTCTTTGCGGGTCTTTCCGGGTGGTCGGCGGGATCGGCCGAAGCCCCAGCGGGAGTTTCTGAGAAAAGAATAGACAAAACAACACCACAATCTTACGCCGTGGGGGTGGCGGGCCAGTGGCCTTCGGCCCCATCCCAGCACCGTGCCTTGGTTGCAGGCCAGAGGCCTCTTGGATGCCTGTTTGGGCGGCTTCTCTGAATCTTATTGCAGGCGGTTTAGGTGTGGTCTTGGCGCCTTATTTAGGCCTCTTTCGGGATCTCCTGGAGCTTCTGGGGGATCTATTCGGGGCCTGCTGGCGGTCTCGGGGGTCGTCTTGGGGCGGAGGGCTCGAAATGTTGGTTCGTGATCACTCTCTTGGACCCCTCTTGGCTCGTCTTGGAAGCCTCCTGGGTCGTATTGGGGTCTTCTTGGGCCGTCTGCGGGCCTTCTTGCGGGCCTCTTTGACCATCTTGGGGCGATCTCGGGGGCCTTGTCTTAGAGCGGCGAAGCGGCGTAGGAGGAGAATGAGGAGGTGCAGAAGGACTGGAGGATGGGGTGTTGAGGAGCAGGAGGAGGAGGAATAGGAAGCGTAATAGGCGGAGGGAGGGAGGAATGTCTTAGGGCCCTTCGAAGCCTCCCTGGGGCCTCCTGGGGACTTCAGATGGCCCCGACAGGGGCCATGAAGAGGCTCTAGTGGGCCCTGTGGGCGAGCCACAGTGCAGAGAGTAGTTGAAACGGCCAGTTCAAATGTTTCACTCTGGTAGGCGCCGGGGGAGTCTCAGGATCTTTTGAGGCGACCCTGAGGATTTCGGGGGGTTTCAAGATGGTTCAAAGCCTCGCAGTGGGCCCGACAGCGATCCAGAGTGGAGCATCTGAAGCATTCGTTTCAGATGCTGGTTCCTACGGCCCGGGACATCGTGCTGTCTGTACTTTCGTCGCTCGAGCAACTGATTTGACCTTCATGTGTAGTCATGAACGGGTGTCGCCTTCTGATTCAGGCCGAGTGCTGCATCGCGCGCGCAGGCGTGCGGCGGTGCTGAGCCAGGATGTTCGTTGGGCGCCGTCGTGCGAGTGCGTATTGTGCAGGCTTACGCGTGCTGCATTGACGTATCTCCTTAAGGGCGTTCCACATGTTCATCTTCTCTGTAATGGCATGTGTTTCGCCATATGTGCTTTAGCTATGCGTCTACTGGAGGCTCCATGTGCTTCCAGTTGATTTTCCGGTCGTCACCGAAACCAGAATTCGGGTGGGGAGGGCTTGATTTGGGGGATTGAATCCTGCTTGCAGCGGTGCCCCCGTGTAATTTGGCTATGGGGCTGTCTGGGACCATCTTGCGGCCATCTTGAGGCTTTCTGGGACCTGTCTTCGGGCCAGCTTGGGGCCTCCCACCCATTCCTCCAGGCTCTTGGGCCCTCTTGGCGCTCCCTTGGATCCCACGGGGCGCTCGTGGGGCGATCTTGAGGGCCAGCAGACCGCCCCAAGGAATTCACGCATCCGTGGCGGGAGTGGCCTGGGGTACTGTTCGTCTTGGGACCCACTGTTCGCCTCGGGACCCACGTGAAGAAGAAACATTGTGAACCTCTTACCGGAGATTCCAGCGCGACTTCGGCCCGTTCGGCCAGCGAATTTTGGTCTCTCGGGGCCCTCTGCGGAGGCCTCTTGTAGCCCTCCTGGGTCGTCTTGGGGGCCCCTGTGGGGCGTCTGGAGGTCATCTTGTGCGTCTTGGAGATCTTGGGTCGACTGGGGGTCCTCTTTGACCGTCTTCGGGGCGTCTTGAAGCCTTCATGGCCTGTATTGAAGCCCTCTTGCCTCCGAGAAAATCTAGCAATAGCGCGCGGGGGCACGCGGCACGCCCCAAGGCATCCGTGAATCTGTGGTCCAGGCCCCTGGATCGCAGATTCTCAGACTTGAGAGCGGAAGGTCGTTCTGACCTCAGGACACTCCAACTCGTGTCTCGCGGCGCGGTGGCTGATATGCATGCGCATATCACATATTCACATACACAGCTGTGACTCTAGACGCTTCGCGTATCCCCACCAGCCCGTCCAGAAACGACGCCCAGGCGAGTAGAGGGTCGTCCTGAGGGGCTTTTCGGCGTCTTGGGTGCCTCGGGGGGGCCTCTTTGGGCCGTTTGGGATCCTCTTGGGGGCCTCCTGGGGGCCTCTTGGGGCCATCTTGGGGCCATCTTGGGGCCTCTTGGTGCCTCCTGGGCGCTTCTTGGGGCCATCTGGGAGGAAATCGATCAAAGAAGAGGGGAGCTTCAATTAGCGCTGCCCCCTCAGAAGGCCAACATGGGGCCAAAACCTTGGTAAAATCAATGATTTTGGCTTCAAAGAAGAGGGGCGCTTTAATTAGCGCTGCCCCCTCAGAAGGCCAAAATGGGGCCAACACCTTAGTAAAATCAATGATTCTGGCTTCAAAGAAGAGGGGAGCTTTAATTAGCCCTGCCCCCTCAGAAGGCCAAAATGGGGCCAAAACCATAGTCAAATCAATGATTTTGGCTTCCTCGCCGAGGCCGTTTTGGACGCTCTGACCGCTCCCCGCCCCTCCTGTCCAGGTCAGTGGGGAGGGGGTAGGGGGAGGGGTAAACCCCTCCCCGAAGGGGAAGAGGGAGGGGTGGAAGAGGAAACGCTCTAAACCACCGACGCCCAGAGGGCTGGTGGGAATTTATGTTTGTATGATGTCGTACATGCACAGAAATGCCAAGTGTATTGTTTTGGGCCTCGTTGAAGGGGGGAGGCGATATATAAATCACGAGTAGCCAGCGACTTTCTACTCAGGAGACCCTGTTCGGTGGGTGCCTGTGTTGTGACCTTCGCGGCGTTTCCCGCGGGGCCTCCCAGAGCGGCCGGCGAGGACGACCCCGGGCCTGGGGCCTACAAGGCGCACCTTGGCCGCGGCGACGTCCGCAGACCCTTGGGCGCGAAGTTCTGTGGGCGGGGGAGCCGCTTCCCCAAAGCGCTGCCGCAGCGCGAGTACTGAGCAGCGGGCCTTTCCCTCCCTCCCCGCCGCTTCCTGTCCGTGGCTCGAGGATGGGGTCCTGAGACAACGCGTAAATCCACCCGCAGTCAACGTACAAATCCACCCTCTGATAACGTAAACATCCAGCCTCAGACCACGTATAAGTCCACCCTTGGATCCCTTCCCATCCTTCTGGCGTCCACTTCTACAGGTTTTGCCATTTCGCGGGCCGTTGTCGTTTCGATCACGTTTTGCAGCGCAGGCGGATTGAAGGCAAAGCGAAGGAAAACGAAGCCATAACGAGAACGACAGACACTGTTCAGGTCGATCCCTGTCTTGGTTCCTCATCCCTCGGGACCCCCTCTTTGAACCACCGATCCTGCTGCCGGAGAGCCCCCCCCCCGAGGCGCTCTGGGAGGGGGGGGGTCTCCCGGCCAGCGGCTGCACCGCGCGCAGACCCCGCCCGGCCTGTGGCAGCCTGGCCGCTCGAGCTGCGCGGTTCCCCCCCCCGCTCCAGGACGGGGGAGGCACGCCGTGCTTCGTCCGGCTGCGCGCAAGCGGCGGGGGCCCCTCCAGAGTCCGTCACGCGCAGAGCGGGGCCGTGGGGGAGAGGGGAGGGCTTCGTACTATGCGGGCCGAACTTCCGTACAATGGCCGAAAGTCCGTCCAAACGGCGCTCTCGCGTCGGCGCGGGCAGCACACCGCCAGCGTCACCTGCACGTCGTGGCCAGTTTAAGAGCGAATCGAGAGGATGTGTCAGCAGAAACCGGCGTTTATGGTTCAGATGGGGGGCTGGACGACGTGGACGAATCAAACGCAATAGTAGAAGCTCCCCTGCTTCTTTCAGGCGGTCGCAAACATGGATCAAGGGGGCGTGGATTAGCGACGGGTCCCGTTTCCATGGGAAATCGCGGATTCCCGCCGCTGAGCGAGGCGGCAGCGGCCGCATTTTGGGGAGGGGACCTCCCCCGATCCATGGATTTGGCGACCGCGCGCCAAATCCATGGATCTCTAATCTCTGTTTGCGCGCCCCCGATTCTTAGAGAAGGCGCGGGCCTTGTCCGTAGACGTAGAGCCCTCGCCTTCTGAGAAGCGGCCTCCTCCTGAGAAGCCCTCCTCCCTCCCCCTAATTCATTATTCACCCCGGGTATGCCTCCTCGTGCGCGCCCCCGTTCGAGGTGCGGTGACCACACCGTGCGCCGTCTCCCGTGCGCCGTCTCCTGAGCCAGAGGGGATCAAGAGTGGCCGCGCGGCCTTGGGACTCGGGCCCTTCGCCGAGGGCGCCTCGGGCGGCGGGGGCCCCCGGGCTCCCGGAGCGGTGCGGTGGCGGACCGCGCGGTGAGGCTTCTCTTTCAGGGGCAACGGTAGGGGGGGATGGGCATAGGGGGGGAGGCATCGACCCCCAATCGCCCATTGATCGCCGATAGGGGCCCGATAGCCCCAACCTGAACAGGAAGGTGCGGACTCACTATCAGAGGCCCATCGCCGATCTATCGGCGATGTATCGCCGATTCCAGGTCGATGCATCCCCCCCTATGCCAGTCCCCCCCTCCTATCGTTGCCCCTCACTCATGGGAGAGCTCGAGGTCACCGCGCGGCCTGCCACCGCACCGCTTTACAACACCTGGCTTTCCTCAGGCGGTCGCAAACATGGATCAAGGGGGCGTGGATGAGCGACGGGTCCCGTTTCCATGGGTAATCGCGGATTCCCGCGGCCGAGCGAGGCGGCAGCGGCCGCATTTTGGGGAGGGCGCCTTCCCCGATACATGGATTTGCCGACCGCGCGGATTTGCCGACCGCGCGCCAAATCCGTGGATCGCTAATCTATGTTTGCGCGCCCCCGATTTCGGCTGCGCGCAACGAGTGACTTCTGGCTGGCGTGGCCCCGGGTGCGCAGCTTTCGGGCGGGGGGGGCAGGCCCGAGCACAGGGCCCGCCGCCCGCCGCCTCGCGTGCAGCCTCTCTTGCCCACAGGGCCGCGCTTCCAGGCCTTTCGGGGCTCGAGCAGAGGGCCGGAGGATCGCGCCGCCGAACGACCGATGCAGTGGCGATGCAGCTCGACATGGAGCCCTAGTTTCTCCACGCCGACGGCGCCGGCGCATCGCGACGTCGCCGACGCATCGCCGATGCGTCGGCGATGCATTTTGCGACGCGGCGCAAATCTCCGACCCCATCTACTCGGACCTCATTTGGGAGGCCTCCAACTTCTGGGAGATTAGATTCAGCATCGGCGCTGGTACGTCCGTGGTCGTCCTACTCTGGCACAGTTCTGTTCAATTCCGCCCAGCGCCGCCGTCCAATCTGGCTCAATCAGGCCTACAGTCAACCCGCGTAGTAAGGATGGGCAACCTTCCCAAGGGTACCCTTGCATCCTTGCCTCCTCGGTCCATCCTTCGCCGCTTTTGCTGGCCGCGCCCCGCCCGAAAAGCTTCGAAATGGGCGCCCAAGGCCCTTGCATCCTCATCGCGCATCCTTACTATACGGGTTGACTGTACCGGCCCCGCTTGTTTGTGGGGGTGGTGTGCAGAAGTTGCGTCCCCAGGGGATGCCATTTTTGCGCACAGCCCCCGCTCCACGGTCTTGTACCAGACAAGCTTGTCTGTGGCGGATAAGCGCATCCCCCAAACATGACATCGGTTTGCCAGCAGTTGCCCCATGCATCCTTACTATACCGGTTGCAAGGGCCGCCACGAGGGCTCGAGGCAGTGCGCGGTTTGCGATCCTCGCTTCCTCGTCTTGCTCTTCCTTCGCGAGGAGGAGGAGGAGGAGGAGGAGGAGGAGGAGGAGGAGGAGGAGGAGGAGGAGGAGGAGGAGGAGGAGGGGGCGAGGCCGCGAAGTCGTTCGCGCGTCGCGAAGCGGGAAGCAGCGCGAACCTGGCCGCCGCTGGAACCCTCTGGGAGGCCTCCGACCCTTGCGTGCAGCCAGCTCGTCGTCGGCATCGCCCCTCGGCATCGCCGACGGGGCACCACCTGGCCGCGTTTTGGGCTCTGGCGGTGTCCCGCGGCGGCTCCGACGTCCCGCCGCGCGCCTCCGCGCAGCGGCGCGCGTGCGACAAATATCGGCGACGACGGTGACGGACGACGGCGACGACGACGACGACGACGACCACGACCACGACCACGACAACGGCGGCGGCGACGAAGGAGCCGACGCCGACGAAGAAGCCGACGCCGACGCCGACGCCGGCTGACGCCGACGCCGTGGCTGCAACGACGTTGATGGCCGCGGCGTGCGGCGGCGCGCGCGGCGCCGTCGGCATCGCCGCCAGCCGCCGGCAACGGGTGGGGCTATGTGCTGGGGCGCGATCTCGCGGATATCGAAGACCAGAGGTCCGCTCGGGTTGCGTAGATCGGCGCCGGGCCCTCTGGGCGGCGCCTCCGGAGCCGCCCCTGGCTCGCTCCGCGCGCCGGAGGGGGGTTCCAGCGCCGATCCAAGACATCCACACGGACCGAGGTAAAATCGAGGTCGGTCCGTAGAGGGTACCCTAATGTTCTTCGTGTTTGTTGGATGTTCTTGTGCATCTTGGGGGAGGGTACCCTCGAATGCTCTTCATTTTGGCCGGCGGAAGGTCTCATGTTCTTGAAGGATGTTCTTCTGTCCTAGGTTGTATCCACACCGACCTCCGAAAGTTCACGTTTATGTTGATTTTCTTATTCCAGGATGCGCGGTCGCACGGATACAGTCCGCGCGGGGCATGCGCGAAAAGACGCCCCGCATTCGCGGTGTCGCGGCCCAGGGGCCTGGCCCTCGAGGCCGTGGATACGGATGTGTTTCTCGCACGCGAGGTCATCTCGGGACATCTCCCCCCCTTGCTGCTCCGTTTGTGCGGTCACCGATGGGAGAACACACGATGAGCACGACCCAGGTGTCGCCGGACATCGTGGATACAGGGATTTTGTTCGCGTTCCATGCTGGCCGTCGCCGCTTTGCGTGGATGATCCACGAATCGACGAGGACCCATATTGACGATGAGCAACATAGATACCGACGTTTCCGCGTTCAGTCTTGGTCATGGTCATCGTTTTCGTTCCCTCCATGTACGGTCGGGTTTGCCTAATGCCAAATGAGCGACGCAGGAAAACAGTGCCGTCTTCAGCTACCTTTGAGCGAAAGTTATTTGTGTAAGGTCGCGAATTAGCGGATCCGTTTCCAATGTGGCGTGCCACGCTGACGGCCCGCGTCAGCCATCGCGTAAGGTCTCTATGGCATGTCGCAGAATACCCGTTGTTTGCGTCGCTCTCTCAGATGAAGAGTAGTTCTTAATGCCCCCCCTGGTGGTGGGTGGAAACAGTCCTCCGAGCGAGATGATGTATTGCCTTTCCCTCCCTGGGGCTATTCCCCACCCCCCAGTTGCGGGGGCTGGGCGCGGACTAGTTGCCCTGCACGGTGGTGGCCAAAACGATGCACAGCCCATTGAATCCCACCATGCGCAACCGCGTGCAACCATCCATGAGTTCCAGGTCCATTCTTCTTATGTTGATTGGACATGATCGCAGCGTTCGATCCTTCCCTCCTCTTCCTCCTTCTCTTCCTCCTCTTCTCACCAGCGCACCTGCCTGTGCACGGAGCACGTGCCCCCTCGTGCCGTTTCCTCTGCGCTCCTCGTCCTCGCGCCGGCATCGTGCACGGTGTATTACGCGGCGCCTTCAGCCCCCTCTCGCCCCTCGGCGAACGTTGCTCCGCAGTCCTCCTCGTTGTGCTTGCGTCGTAAACGACTGCACGCGGCGGCCACACAGCGCCCCCCCGTGGACACGGTGCTCGTCTTTTGGGCCTGCTGCCTCTTACCAAGGGAGGGAAAGCCACCCGGACCGGGCAATTGGCGTGTACTAAACGGCCTCGGGCGTTTACTAAACAGCACTGACCTGTTCGATTCCTTCAGTGGGGGCGTTTAGTAAACGGCTTCGCGTGTCGGGGTGGTTATTATGGTGGTGGATTTGTTGTCCTTTATATTACCACCAGCACCACACCGAGCGCATTGTTTTATCTCTTTCTCTAATGTATTTCTGATCCATCACATCGCAG